GTGCTCTCCTCTTTCACCCTCATTAAGAGGTTCTTTAATTCCTCCTCACTTTCTGCCATCAGAGTGATATCATCTGCATATCGGAGGTTGTTGATATTTCTTCCAGCAATCGCCACAAGGCTTATTCTCCCCAATGTATTTTGATATATGTTTTTAAATTAAAATGTATTTTGAAACAAGTTTCTTTCTTAGACCTCCATTTCATAAAACACTTTATATAGGAAAACTCAACTGAGATACAGTATTAGCTAAAAAATCTCAATAAGCCCTAAAACTTCTTCTGGTAAAACTGTATTTCACCCCACTCAAGGAAATAGTTCTCAGTGTGGCTATTGCATGATTACCACGCAGTTTATGGTCTCAAGCTTGTCTACATCTAGGGGACAAGGTTTTGGCCTGAAATATTTAGACAAAAATATTGCCATTCAAACGTGCTCCTTGATAGACAAAATGTAACTATTTTGCAGACAGATATTTGCTAGAACTTCCAGTGTATAATATATGGAATCAAATTGTAAAGAACAAGATTTGAAGAACAAAACGAGAAATCTTAGACATTCAGAGATATGCTGGACACAGAACTGTCAAGGGCAGATGATAGTGGATTGTTGTATTTCCACACTGCAATCCATGATTAGCACACAAGATAAAAAGGCCATTGTGATGTTACTGAGTTTTCAACCCACATTATCACTGTATGGCAGTACGGCAATGTTACTGTGTAGCAAAACAAATCCATATTCTACAAAGCAATTCTAAAAATGTTATAAATGTTATAACAAAAACTTAGGACATTGAAACTGGATGTGGCATCAGCACCAAATACCAGCAAAAGGTTTGCAAAGTAGATACATTGTTGCAGGTTTCTGGGGTGGAAAAGATGTTTGGTGGGCAATGAAAGGTCACAGAAACCATTGAAAGATTTTCTTTGCAGAAATATGGGGCCATTTCCTGGTGTTTTGAATAATGGATGCAGAAGCACAACATCCCACATTCCTAAACTGGAGGGTGTCTTTTTTTTCTTTTAAGAACTGAATATTAAGTAGATAGAGTGCAGTGTAGTTTAGCAGCTGGACACAGAAGGCCTGAGTTCAAACTCCACTTGTCTGTGGAAGCTCATTGGGAGGGAGTAACCATAGTAATCAGTCCTTGGAAAAATGCTTTCCCTTTGGCCCATCCCTTACCTGAGGCGTTTAATATGCTATCAATCTGCACTCATCAACAAAAATTTATTTTAAAAATTTGTAAAATGACAAGCAAATGTGTAGCCAGGTGGAAGGGACTAACTTATTGATACAGTGGTGCCCCACTTGACGATGACCCTGCTTGACAACAAAATCGCTTGACAACGAGTTTTTTGCGGTCGCTATAGCAATCGTTAAACGATTTCTATGGGTTTTTTCTCTTTACGATGTCACTGCTTCGGAACCGTGTTTTTGCTGAACGACGATTAAAAACAGCTGATCACAAAATGGCTCCCCAGTGTTTTCTGGACCGATTATTTGTAAGACAGCGATTGAAAATGGCTTCCCTTATATTTGCAAGACAAAGACAGCGATCGAAAATGGCTTTCCTTATGGAGGATCTTCGCTGGACGATGAGGTATTTCCCCCATTGGAATGCATTAACCGGTTTTCAATGCTTTCCAATGGGGTTTTTTTTGGCTTGATGATGATTTCGCTTAATAGCGATTTTCCTGGAACAGATTATCGTTGTCAAGTGGGGCACCACTATATCTGTGCAGTTCTCCAAGACTTAGTTATTCTGTGAGCCAGTGTACTGACTTAAAACATGATGTCCACAAGGGCTAATCATTATGATTTTCATATCACTTTTCATATCACTTTAATCTCTCTCCGTGTCTTTAATGCAAATTATCTTAAGAGCTCAGTTATGAATTGAAGCAATTAAAAAGGGGGGTTTATATAAGCAGATAAATAAAAGTAATTCTTTAACTTCTAGTTCCTCTACAATGGATTGGCAAAGAAATTTCTAATGCTTACACATAAAGCCCTAAATAGTTTAGGCCCTCAATAGCTGGCAGAGCGCCTGTCCCCACCTAGCTCTACTCGCGTCACTCGACCAAATCAGACCAGGAGGCTGAGGGGCTTAACCCCGAGAGAGGTCCGGAAGGAGAGAACCAGGCCTTCTCGGTGGTGGCCCCCTCATCTTTGGAACACCTTATCCCTGGAGATTCCACTGTCACTCTTGTTGGGAATTTTTTAAAAACAAGATGAAGACTTGGTTCTTCCAGCAGGCCTTCCCCTCTCCTCTTCGCATGGCATAGCTTCCTTTTCCCATCTTGGTTCCTGTTTTATTTATTCATCTTTCTGCTCTTATGATAAGTTATTTTAATGCTGTTTTTATCTTTATCCCCTTCTCATGGCATAGCTTCCTTTTCCCACCTTGGATCCTGTTTTCTTTATTGATCTTTCTGCTCTTATGATAAAAGTTATTTTAATGCTGTTTTTATCTTTATACTGTATTCTGTAAGTCGCCCAGAGCAGATTCCCGAATCTAGATGGGCGGGGTAAAAAATTGGAACAAATAAATAAATAAAATTAAAAATTTCTTCCCAAAGAAACAGCCCTGCCAGTTGAACAAAGGAGAGAGGAAAAAATCAGAACACTGTAGTACTTTAAAGACTACCAACGTTATTCTTACGGGGAACTGGACTTGGACCCATTAATGTTCACACTGAAATAAAATTATTAGCTTTTAAAGTGCTTCCATATTTTGTTCTTTTCCCCTCTTTTCGTTTGCCAGCATTCATGATTTTGAGCATAATATTATAATCCGTTTTCCTTTCGTCGTCTTCAGGGATTTCCAACGCGAACCAGAATAACGCGGAAGGGAGCAACCGAACAAACTTCCCTCCTCTCTAAAAAGCGACACCGCAAGTGCGCACGCGCGCCGGCCGGCCGGCAAAAAAACAACAACCGCCCGCCCTCGCTTTCCTGTCCTCGCCTTTCCGCCGCCTCCGAGCGACTTTGGTTGGAGGCGGGGCTCCGTCGGCGTGCGCATGCTCGGTGGGTGTTTGAGGACGGTTGCCCTCTTCCTGGCGCCGGCCGCGGGAGAATTCGAATCGGGCGACGAGGGCGCCAAAGTGACTCGGTGGGTTATTTTTTGGTTGTTGTTGTTGTGAGTTCGGAACGAAGAGGCGGGAGGGGAGGGTTTGTGTTCTTGAGACGCGCCAGGAATTTGAATTACGGGTGGATAAGTGAACTGTTGGGGGGGGGAAAGGAGTCGTGGGGTGGTCTCGAACTGGCGACGGGGGTGGCTGTAGGTGCGGGGAGCACAGTCTGTCTGTCTCAGCTGCTTCTTGGGGAGAAATAAACCCGCAAATTATACTACTGTACTTTAGTGGCAGAGGACGAATGGAGAGGCTTGGTGCTTTTGGAACAGCCTCGTGTATCGGGATTCCCTGGTATCTGTTTATTTGCTGATTGATTGATTGATTGCATAATGACAACAACCTTGCTAGGAAGGTCGAGGTGAAGGAGAGTGAGCCTCCAGATGTTCTTGGACTCCAACTCCCAGAAATCCTGGCCAGCAGAGGTGCTTGTGAAGGCTTCTGGGAGTTGTAGTTCAAGAACATCTGGAGGCCCAAGGTTGGGGGACCGCTGCCCTAGAGAACATCAAAGCCAAGTGGGGACTCGAACCCCCTCTTCACCACACCGCCTCGGATACCTGCTGCCTGTCAGTCCTGTTGTCTGCCCCTGCTGGGCTAGTGCAGAGCTGTGCCTTTCCTAGCCGTCTTGGCACCTGAGACCATGATTTCTTTATTTAAAATGTTTATACTCTGCCTTTCTTTAGAAAAGGAGCCACCATAAAATGTGCCCCTGGAAAAGAACTTTCAAGGAAAGCCTGAGAGTAAACTGCTAAATTCCTTTTAAAAAAGAGAAGAAATGGAAAAGGAGTTCTTGTACATTAAGATCAGCTCTTGACTTTATTCTCTTAGTTTAAAAATGTGGCTCAGCTTTGATAACTTGGCTTGGCTTAAATGGGTGTTTGGCTATTTAAGAATATGTAAATGTGGTAGCATTTAAAGAAGTGCAGCTTCTGGCTCCAGGTCTCTCCCTCCCACGCCAAACTCCAGTGGGATTTGAAGTTAAATTAAAACAACAACAACAAAAGAGCATAAAGAAGAGACAGGGTCCCTGTGGCCCTCGGCCTCACAGTCCAGGGCTACTAGTTACTGCATGGAGGAACTGTTTTAGCTCAGGCAAAATCCTTATTTTTCCCATTCTATCATCTGTAGAGAGCATCAGGCCCTGTATGTTTACTTCAAACCTGGAATGAAAGAGTGGAAGAGACTCAGAATCAGGAGTAAGAAGGGAAAGAGAGAAAGTGAATGAAGAAATTGAGAGTTGCAAAGTAAGTGAAGGAGCAAAATAAAGACTGAGTTATTGAAGAACAAGTCGTGAAGAAGCGAAAGAGAGAGGACGACTGAATGAAGGAGGTACTGAAAGTCAAGGAGCAAGAAGGAGACAATCGATTGCTGCTCTGGCCTTTGGAACAGACACAAGGGGGTTCATTCCTCAGTAATGTCTCCTAAAAAGTTAAGCTGTCTCATTGACACCCCCAGAAGGCTAGGGCAAGTATAGACTTGAAAAGAAGCATTGAACCCCCCCCCCAATCCTCCAGTAAAGATGAAGTGGGGATGGAAGGCAGCTTCCTTGAGGAAAGAGTTGAGGGGTGGTGACTGGGATGATGAAGAATGTTAGGCAGCCTCATCTAGATTGATCTCTCTTGCTGTGAGGTTCTTGGGAGACAAGAGACAACACACACACACACACAAATTCAGTCTCCAAGTCTGAAAAAATATTTAGTTAGGAAGGCATCTACTGCTATTCCTTGGGGCATCACACTTTAAGAAGGTTGCTGACAAACTGGGACAAGTTCAGAAGAGGGCAACAAGGGTCTGGGAAGACTGAGAGAACTGGGCATGTTTAGCCTTGAGAAAAGAAGATTTGAGGGGAGATAGGATAACTCTCTTCAAATACTTAAAGGTGGCCTGTACCGAGGAGGGGCAGGATCTGTTCTTCATCATACCAGAGTGCAGGACATGTAATAATGGGTTTAAGTTATAGGAAGCCAGATTTTGATTGAATATTGGGGAAAAACTTCATAACTATTAGAGCAGTATAACAATGGAATCAATCACCTCGAGAGGTGCTGCATGCTCCGATGCTGGAGGCATTCAAGAGAAAATCAGACAATCATATTTGTCTGCACAGAGCAGGGAGATGGACTCAGTAGCCTTATAGGCCCCTGCTAACTTCATTATTCTATGTTTTTTTTTCTCCCGTGCTTCCTAAAGTCTTTTTTACTTTTAATGGCTTTTAAGACACCCTGGCTTTAAGACTTTCCTGAGCTGGTTTTATTGATTAGGTTATCCTGTGGTGTTTCACTATTTTTTTTAAATAATTGAAGTAAGTACACTCCCCAGAGAAACTTCATTGTGAGTCAAAAAGGTAAAGGCTCCCCTTGACATTTAGTCAGTCGTGTCTGACTCTAGGGGGCGGTGCTCATCCCCGTTTACAAGCCGTAGAGCCAGCGTTTGTATGAAGACAGTTTCCGTTGTCACGTGGCCAGCATGACTTAGACCCAGAACGCTGTTTACCTTCCCACTGAGGTTGTCCCTATTTATCTACTCGCATTTGCATGCTTTCAAACTGCTAGGTTGGTGAGGAGCTG